AACAAATCTAATTGGCTGGCGCGAGCGTGTTAGTGCGGCACATTCTGGAAAACGGAATATACCACGATGCGATGCGTGTGACGATGTACAACAACACAGCGAAAAATAGTAGTGACGCGGAACCGAATATCGTGTGCTAGTCGTCGTCGTCGTCGTCGTCGTCGTCGCGTCGTATTCGTAGTTCGTAGTCGTAGTCGTAGTCGCTGCGCAACGTTGTTTCACACAATCTCTCCTCCCTGCGTGTCCCCGCTTTCAGACGGTGGATTATAAGGAATGTCGAGGAACGGTGCTATTTCTGCCGCGTCTCTATTCCGTAACAATCAGGGACGTACCGAGCGAAGGCGTTTCTCTGTCTCGCAATGATCCTCGCTTCACCATGCGCATCTCTCGCGCTTAATCCCAATTTAATCGGGAGCATATCGTTTGACGCTCGATAGCTTCGCAAGCTACTTTTAGAACGATTGTTGCGCTATTCTTTGCTACCGATTATTGTCTCTGATCGAGGCTTACTTTCTACGCGTAAAACTATCTCGTGTATATTGGAAAGAAAATTATTTTTATTTCTTCGCATTTCGTATCGTATATTTAACAAATTTAATCTCAATTGTGTATCGATTTCGTATATGGAGCTCGTTTCAAAGTTGATCGTGTTGATGACAACGTGGATACGGCGACCGAGTTAAGTATGCCGAGAATTCGTAGCGAGAAACGAGAGATACACGCGTAACAACGTAACAGTACCGGCGGCAGCATAGAAAATATGATTTTCCGCATAGCTTGGAATTCGTTGCACTCCGTGTTCGTTCCGTGGCACGCGCGCGGCGCTCGTTACCGTTTCGACCGATTCACCACCGCGAACGCGCGACAATCGAAATCCTATATACTTTCGCGATACACCGAAGCGCGTAAAGTCCGGCAACGCGATAGCACGGCAAAAGCGAATACGGCTATGAATTTTTCAACAGGCCAAACCAGCCAGCCATATGCTCGTCTCACGTGACAGCCCATATCTGTAGAATCCCAGCGACCTGTGCCACATAATTTTCCGCGTACACACGATGCACGGACGGAATGTTGTGTCACGCTTACGCCGCTCTCGCTTCCACCCTGTACGCGTTCGTATTCACGAACGTGCACGCACAACACAAGCGCGCGCGCGCGCACACACGCACGCACATATGCGCGGGTACGTCGGGCTTTTATCGCGCACGCATACACGTAAACGTATCGCAGTACAGCGCCACCCCGAATACCGGATGTGACGACACTCGCGCACTTGGCCCGACGCACTCTTGAGATGCCCCCTCCCTCCCTCCTTCTTCTCCTGCTCTATTTCTCTCTTCCTCTATATATTTCTTTCCCTCGGTTTCTTCCTCCCTTACCCATCGTCCCTCCCGCCTCCCTCCTTCCCATTCCCCTTTCTCCCCCCCCCACCTTCTCCTTTCCCCCTTCCCCGCCCTTCCCTTCCCTTCCCTCCCCTGCCCGACCGACCGACCGCCCGCCCGCCCGCCGCGGCGTACACTGCTCGGTACGCGAGTGTAGTCTCTGTCTCTCTCTCTCTCTCTTTCTCTCCCTCTCTCTCCCCTAGTACCCCTACCCCTCTCTATCGTTGCTCTCCCCTCCTTAACAGGGCGCTATTTACCCTCGCAGTTTCGGCGACGACCGAGCGTGGCGCTGCGCTCTTGCGTCGCATCTTGTTCGGTGTGTGTTGTGTGTCGACGTGCACGGCGGCGTCAGACTCACGTTAGCGCGGCACAGTCCCACGCGGAACTTCGCGCGTGTCCCGCTCCTCAAAGTGTCATCGCGAATCGCTTGGTTTCGCGTTCGCGGCCATGTCTCCCATCCGTGGACGTGGACGAAACACGGTTTCTGTGTCGCGCGTCGAACGAAATCGCGTTCTCGATTTCACGGCCGGGCCACGCCGTGATCTCCTCTTCCTTCCCCCCCCCCCCCTCCCGACCACGATGTCGTCGCGTGTGTGCCAACGAAACGGACGAGCCACGTTAATAACGGGAAAGGGGAGAAAAGACGACGGGAGAGAAGAGGATGGACGAGAGAGAAGAGAGAGAGAGAGAGAGAGAGAGAGAAAACAACACATTCGCGGCCATTTTAACTGCGTCGTACGCTAACCCGGGCCACCCAGTGTGTAGTACGAGAGTCGGAGAACCTCCGTAACGTCGCCGCTCTCTCTCTCCTTAGGCTTAAACTGCGTCTCTCGCGTGTGCGCTTTGCTTCTGCGCACGCGAGTCGGTACGTGTTTTCTCACGCATACATCGGACCGTTCATGACGCTCGTGCGTTACGCACACTTTCACGTTTTCGACAGAGTTGTTTGTCGCGTTCTCGGGACCGTGTGTTTCGTCACGATTCAAAGCCGTCGGAGTCGGAGAAAATTGACAGTGAGGAGGGGGAGGGGGGAGGGGGAGCGTACATGGGAACCGTCGATACAGTGACAAAACGGGGAGAAGCGACACGCGAACGAAGCAACGAACGACGAACGGTCAACGGAACGTGTTCGCTCGACCGGTATGTTTGCTCGTTTCGTGACGCGAAACGCGCCAATCGGCAAACTGGCGAGAACAAGGAATAACCGCTGCATCTTGTATAACGGGCAAATTGTACGCAGAAGAAGTGCGAAAAAGTCGTTCCCCCTTCGTGAAATTCGACGAATAACGATGATGACGATAACGAAGGAAGGAAGAAAGGAAGGAAGGAAGAAAAGAAAAAAGAAAGAAAGAAAGAAAGAAAGAAAGAAGGAACGAACGAACGAACGAACGATCAATCGAAATAGAAGAGCGAGGAAATTTGTTCAGCCGGTAACAACGAACTTGACAGCGACCGGGGTTATCCTATGATAAACCGTGCGGAAGAAGAAATTGGAAATGGACGATGGGATAATTAAAAGTGCGCGAAGAGTATCGAGAAACGAAATACGAGGTATATATGTGTAGTAGGTGTGTATATATATATATATATATATATATACCGTGTCGACGAGACGAAGAATCGTCGTAAATAATCCTGTTGTGAGACGAGGAACGAAGGAAAAGACAAGGATGAGAGGATTTACGGCATCAAACGTTTCGACGACGAGGAGGAAGAGGAGGAGAAGGAGGAGGAGGAGGAGGAGGAGGCATGATGGACGATAGAGGATAGAGGAGGAAAAGAACCGAAAACGTAAGTCATACGTAGTATGAAAAGAGGTTAAAGACGCGCAAAGTGGGGATGAGGAAAGTTCGACGTCCGAGGGGCAACAGCGGGACGCATAGAGAAAGAAAAGTTATCGTGTGCGGCTACGTACGTAGGTACGAATGAAGAACCGCGTGACTTGGAATCTGCGCAGTAAATCGCGTTCACGTGAACGCGGCCCGAAGGCGCCGCGAAATTCGTGGCGCCCAACAACCAGCCATTCGTCACGAGGAGTTGGAAAGCTTTGAAACACGATCGTGTATCACGAATATAACCGGCTGTTTTGTTCCTTCGTTTTTTGTTTATCCCGTTTGTTCCGTTCTCGTTGCTCTCGTTTCCCTCTCGCTTCCCGCTCTCGGTATTCCGCGCTCGTCTTTTATACTTTCGCCCGTCGACCGCGCACGAAGCCCCTTTTGCTGCGAAAGACGTGGGCGACATGGTGTGTGGCTTACGTAATGGGCCGAGCGATAAGACGGATAACGCGTGACGGCGGCTTCGAGCGTGCCATCTAACCGGCGCCTCTATTTTCGAACGCCGCTGCCAGTCCACTGGTTGCTCCTTCTTCTCAACCGCGCGTCCCAAAATCTTTCCATTTTTATACTTTCAGATCGAAGCGGGGTTCGGATCGAAAAAGACGAAAGATTCGAAACGGTGTGCCGACCTTGTTTACAACGCAACGGCGCTCGATCGTAAACACGTCGCGGTTATATTTACGAATCTGCGTTTCGTTTTTTCTCCGGGAATAAAACTCGGATTAAGCTGATCGTTGGCTGATCGTTACATATAGTATAGTAGTGGACGTCATCGTTCCACGTCGTTTCGAATAGGAATTTTACCACGAGGCTCGTGATGAATGGACGCTCGTGTTCCATCGTGCGACGTTCGAAATTCTTTTCACGCGTTCACGAGAAGGCACCGCCTACCGAGGACCGTCCATCCGATCGATCGTCGATGGACGGTTCACCAAGGTAAAACTCGCGGCGAGTGACAATTCTTCCAACCAGTTTCAGATATACGATACCAAGGATGCGACGTATTCGGCGACGTATTCGTCAAGGTCGTGTTAAGAACGATCAAATTGGCAACGGCCACGAATCACGAGACGACGATGCCGAAAGCTTCGTAACGCGATAACGAATAGAGAGGAGAAGCGGCATGACTCATCTCATGACGATCCACGCTCGTGCGAAACTGAATCATTCTTGAAACGCGCCATATTAAAATCGTGCAATCGTATTTCGCTTCTCGCCTCGATTCACCCAAAATCTCCATTCTCCTCGTCGAGAAGCTTCGTCGCTCTCCATCTGCATTCTCGAACGTATCATTTTTTTTTTATCCGAATTGGAGATTCGCGCCACTCTCCTCCTCTCGATGTGTACATGCTCTTCGTGCGCGTGTCCGTCTTCGGCGTCCAAGAATCGAAGAAGACTGGAGAAGAATCGAAGAGAGAGAGGAATACGTTGTTACGCGATATTATTACGTATTACGATTCGTTGGGACGGGGAGGATTGATCGATATCGGTTGTTGAAAATTGTTTTTCGCGGGAACGTGGCGACAAGCAGAAGTAAGTGGAGTTAGGAGACGGGAATTGGCGTATCAAAAACTTTGCTTTACGAAGATTGGAAGAGGGGCGACGATCGGTGGTGGGGAGATCTGACTTCGCATGGTGGACGAGCAAGATGGCGGCCCGGGTTAGGGACACGTGAGAATCGCGTTGTCGCGTTGTCATCGATGCCCGAAAAAAAAAATCCTCATAAATGATATCACGTGTGTATCGATATTGATATGGATAATTTCCTTTCGACCGACAGCCAATCTATCGACCTCGACGTCTCGCATTCCCCGCGATCGATCACCAACCTGAGAATACAGCCCGACCGTTTTCAACCGAAGATGCACCGTCCGCGTTTTCTCCAATCGTTGTTTCCTCACACCGACACTCTCGCACCGTCCAATGATGCGTCTGCCGTGCGTTGTTCAGGATTTGGAACGAACCCGTCCTACTTTCGTCTTACGAGGTAAGCCAATCGATCGAAGAATTTCTTTCCCGCCTGATCCGTGAAACGATCGTGAAACCTATGCGTATGACCCGTTTCGTTCGATGCTTTTACCATCTCTCGATCGATCGCTCGTTTAATCGCCTCTCGGACGGATCGTCTTACCGATTTCGCATCCTTTTCCTTCTTTTCCTTCTTTTTCTTATTTATCGAATTCATTCGATTCGCCGACTTAGCGAGAAATCATTTTCCCTCTCGAAAATCGGACGCTTTGAAACGCTCTCAACTTTAACGCTCTTATCTTTCCGAACCTTTTAATTTCGCGGTATCCGCGGACCCGAACGAATTCTAACGAACTTTGAAATTTTCTCTTTTCCTTTCTCCCTCGAATGAGAAAATTCGAAGAGAAACGTTTATACGCGTAAAACTGGAAACACAGGATCTTGATCCTGTGTCAAATTTCAATTTCGTGTGTACGCACGAGGCGAATCTTCTAACCTGAAATGGATTACTTGTAAAGAAAAAAAGGGAAGGTCGTTCACTCGACGACGAGAAAGTTTTTCAATTTTTGCTACTGAATTTCCTACAACGACGTGTTTGTCGGGGGGGAGAGCAAAAAGGAACATGGCGATATCGGTTTGCGAAGCAATAACGCGAGTTCCATATGCAAGATACCACGTCCAAGAAACTGTTACCAACGCTAATTACCATTTTACGGTTCCGTTCCAAGTATTTGCATTTTCCGGTAATTAGAATTTCTCATTCCCATATCGTATTATTTCTCATCGGTTGGAAGAGAAATGTCGGTTTCCTTCGTGTGAGAGATGTTTCCCGATCTATAATAACGATACGCGTTTTATTTTACGTCCATCCTTCGATCGTTCTATAAATTCTTTTATTCGTTTACTTATCTCTCTCTCTCTCTC